TCCATTATGTCCTTCCTGGGTTGATTTTTTTTTATTTTATTATTTTATTTTATCATTTATTTTATTTTATTTTATAGACACAATCAGGAGTGGGCTACTATGTGTTTGCTGGGTTTGGGAGAACCAATGGCTAATGTTATGGCCGGTTTGGAGAACTTCCACAAAATAAAATAAAATAAAATAAATGATAAAATAAAATAATAAAATAAAAAAAAATCAACCCAGGAAGGACATAATGGATCCACTGGCATGAGTCTCAGCAGCTGGAATTCAGATAAAAGTGAAATATAGTATTTGGACCAGTCATTATCTCTCAGCCCAGTCTATCTCAAAGTATTGTTGTGAAGATAAAATTGGAGTGGGAAATACTATATATACGCCACTCCAAGCTCCTGTAGAAAGATGGGATTTAAATCTAGCAAGTAAATGAATAAATCAAATTACAATTACACTTTTCGTTAGACTCTGTATAAATTGCATGAATATTGTCAAAGACAAGGGATGGTTAATCTCTTTCTGGTCAATTTGCTACAAAATTACATGCAATTTCTGTCCTCTCTGTTTCATGTTCTCAATTTCTAAATGTGCAATGTAAGGCATTTGCTAACTGCATGATTTATTATTAAAGTTTGATGATTCTCTCTTTTATATTAATGGCTAATTTTGAAAACTCCAGAATTCATATTGACTTTGTATTGACTTTATTTTTAATTAGGTCTAGTAGATGCACACACACATCCTGTATGGGCTGGTGATAGGGTGCATGAATTTGCAATGAAGGTAAGTTACAATATTTAGAGAAGATTTGGGTTTCTTTCTGTTATACTGTATATGCCTGAAGTGCTTTTCTGTTTGCTTTGGAAATGGAGAAATATTGTAACCTTGTGTGCAGTCATTGAAATGGGATTATAAATGATTCCATAGTCCCTGAGATACTGGCAACAACAGAATAATGAATAACTTCACTTTTGCCTTTTATAAGTTTGATAAAAAAGTTTGGTTCATGAATTTTCTCTGAAAGTTATTTGTTGTAAGTTCAACAATAATTTTTTCTAATGTTGCACTTGGAAAAGCTGTTTTAACCCACAAATCAAAATAATTAAAATGTAAAGACATCACCAATGTTGTGCAATAGATAATTTTGTTACCAAAAGGAGGTAATGTTTACTTAAACATACATCAATCCTTGTTTTTAAGAGAAGTTTTGGATTGCATGAATAGATATAATAAGCCAAGCTTTGCAGGGCATTTAATGCTTTGTCTTGAAATTAACTAATTTTTTTATCCCAAAAAAGTATCATCTTTTTACATATCTGCCATAGATGGCGTTATTGATTTTATTTATTTTTAAACAAAAACTTTCAACTGGAAGAGTATGTGATTTTTAAAAATTGTCAGGTTTCTTCTGATTTAAAAGGGCAGTCTGCCAAATACCTCTGCAGATCCTGTAAGTTTTTCCTTACTCTGTTCAGCTGCAGAGCTAGGGTTCAACAATGTAAATATCATATTATCTGCAAGGATGCTTAATAAATATAATTTATCTCCAGATTTAATTCCTTGACTTTGATTGTTAATGCACAATGCAATTCCTAGGGCTTCTAAAACCAAATTAAATGAAAGAACTATTTTGGCATCCTTGTTTAATGCCTCACAAAATTGCAATGAAGTATGATAATTGCCAAGTCTTATTTGCACAGTTGTACAAATACAAATCTGATCAATCACATTAGCAAAATAGGGCCTGAACCTATATATTTTAAGTCTCTGGAAAATTGAATGCCTTAAAAAAGCCAATGAACATATAGCTGAGTCATATTAACCATACAATATTTCATATTTTCTAAGACAGAATATGTTTCTTTTGTTGTCTAAACAATATATTTAAGATGATTGCTGATACTTTGTATATAATTTGTACAAATTAATCTAAATTAAGAAGTAAAATAGGTCTATAGGAGATCATCTCCCAAAAAGGGAATTTTTCCCTATTTAGGAATTAAAATTATTTTAGAATATTTCCAGGAAAGCTTTCCTGATGCAATACTCTGGCACATGTTTCATGGATGATTCTGTTTTAAGTTGGCAGGTGCTTCCTATATGGATATTCATCAAGCTGGAGGAGGAATACATTTCACTGTGGAACAGACGCAGAAAGCCCGAGAAGACGAACTCCTTAAAAGTTTCAAAATCCGTCTGTTACGGATGCTCCGAGCAGGCACCACTTTGGTTGAATGCAAAAGTGGATATGGTTTAAATCTGGAAACAGAAATTAAGATGCTCAGGGTCATTGAACGGGCTAAAAAGGAATTGGACATTGGTATTTCTTCCACCTACTGTGGAGCCCATGCAATTCCTAAGTAATTATGTGTTGTTTTGTCTATAAAATCACTTAGAGTTAGAGTTGGGCACAGATGACAGATAATTGTTTGAGCAAACATATAGTGTGGTTGAATTATCTTGACTTTTTAGGTGAAGGAGAAATTGTCTGACAATTTCTAAAGTCAGAACTGAGCCATGGTGGCACAGTGGTTAGAATGCAGTATTGCAGGCTAACTCTGCCAACTGCCAGCAAGTCGATCCTGACCGACTCAAGGTTGACTCAGCCTTCCTTGCTTCCGAGGTTGGTAAAATGAAGACCAGATTGTTGAGAGAAATATGCTGACTCTGTAAAGTGCTTAGAGAGATCTGNGAGGGAGCTGGAACCGGTTCTAAACGGCACTGTAGATTTGTGGAAACTCTTCTATAGAAGAGGTTAGAACTGGCAGGAACTCACCCCTGGTTTGCCTAATCCATTAGAACTGGAACAACTGTCATTGTGCTTAATGACAGTTTTGCTAAGCAACAGGGTTCCCACTCTTAATTACATACCTCCATTTACTGAGGACTATCTGCACTTTACATTTATTCAATCCCCTTTAGTGACTAAGCAAAGTGGAAGGTATGAGAGTTGCAGAATTTCTAGAATTTAATAAAACGACTAAAAATTGCTTCATCCACAAAATCCTCCATGCACAGAAGGTCTTTCTGACCTGGCCCGATTCCAGCACTTCTGAATGAAGTTCTTATATTGCCATAGGAAGAAGCAGCTAAGTCGGCCAGACAAGTTAACGTCTGCCCGCCTGCTTGCCGGAAAAGGCAGGTGGGCACAGCGGAGAGGTGCGACGGCTGCAGCCGCTCCATCTTCCGGCACTTTGCAGAGCTCAAAAGAGTCCGAAGAGACCCACCGCTCACCTTCACCAGCGGAGCTTCCTCGGGCGACGGCAACCAGCTACCCGCTCCGGCGCAGCCGTGCCAATTGCGCTCGTCCCGATCAGCCTGGACTTCCTGCGAGGAGACGGTTGAGCCCGGCTGCTGGGCACGAGGCGAGCATTCCCACGGAACTCTGGCTTAGGTTGCGGCCGTTCTCAGGCAGCCGCCAGTCACGGGCCTGCAGGGCAGCGGAAGCTGGCGGTTCTTGCCCGGCAGACAAGCCCTTTGGCGCACTGGATTCTTCGCCCGGGGGACCTTCGCCTTGCTTCGGCCATAGAATGGGAGGGCGCAGGACCTCTCCCTCTTTTCCAGTCCCCACTCCCATCCCTGCACTCTACTTGGCTCTTGTGGGCCGTCTGCGTTTTAATCGGCTCCTTCGCGGTCTGGACTGCGGTCACGGGAGCTTATCCATAAATATCGGCCGTTTCCGCCCGACTTTGACTCTAGCGATGAAACAGGGCGGAACTCCTCAGTTCAGCTGCCCGATCCTGGCGGCTTCGTCCCCAATTCTTACCGCGTCTGAACTGGGAAAGAGCTCGGGGCTGGTGTTCAACAAGTCCTTCAATTTCTTAAGCGCAAGGACGTTGCCAGGAAGAGATGCCCCCTCCCGCTCCCCGTGTAACTGATATTTGTACATATGCCTTTGTGATTAATCGTAGAATTTGAGATTCCTTCCTTCCGTCCTTCCTTCCTTCCTTCTTTCAAATATGGTACGTAAACTTAGCGGAGGGCTATAGTGCATGATAGATGCAACTAGATCCTTTGCTTTCTGTTGCTCTGACGGGTTTGTGCTCAGAACAGGAAGAGTAAATATGACTGCCATTAAGATTCCACAAAATTCGGGTTTGCTACCCTTCATCAAGTATTTGTTCCCATGGAATGCACAAAGAAGTAAACTCGGTTCATCGGAGCCTAAAGCGGGAACAGGGAATTCCCCAGTTCCGTTGAACTCTATGACAGTTGCTTCCATTGAGGCATAAGATTGAGCTAAGAATGCTCAAGTACATAGTTTTGAGCGTGCCTTCTAGAGAACAAGGGAGAGATTAACAATTGAAGTGAAATTGATTTGGAAATCGATTTGGGAATAATGGGTATTGCTTTGAGAAAACAATAAAGACTGGCAATTCTACCATGCTGATTATAGTGCAAGCTTTGTGGTCTGAGGTTTATGCTACACTTTTCTAAATTACTGTAGTTAATCTTAAAACAAACTTTTAAAGCTTTGTGCTAAGACTTTACTCTCTGATATTTTGGAATGATAAGCAAAATAAAACCCAAGAAGTAAAATTCATCGCAAGAGAGAAATTATGACTTTGGTGCTCCAGCAGATGCCACAGAGGTCCTAGCCATCCAGTCTAACGCCTCAGATTTACCACAGCCCCCTATATTCTCTTTCTATTCATTCTGACATGGGAAAAGTGTGTGTGTGTGGGTTCATTAATTAAACTTATTTTCCAAAAGTTGTCCCCGGTGGCAACAATTTGCCATTTCAAAAGCTCTCAACAGATGGGGATTCACAAGCTTCATCCTTGGTTGAGAAGGCACCTTTTATATCTAGAAAAAATATTTTCCCTCTGAGCCTGAGTGGATTGGCTTCTCTGTGGCTGGTTTATATGGTTGGGACATTTATTTCTTGTTTTAACCATTTCTCATGGCTCCCCATCCCAAACAATTCCAAATCCTACTGTGCAGATTCAGTTCATTATGCCCCCTAAATCAGGGATCACCAACCTTTTGAACCTCAGGGACCACTAAATTTATCATTTTAAATCCCGCGGACCACTAATATGATTTTTTTTAAAAGATAAATAATATTTGGTGCAATATAAAAAAGGCAAATACTTTTTCTGCGGACCATCAAAACTTTCTCACTGACTGCCCTAAATCACAGTTCATTGTGGCACTAAACCACTATGACTTGCTTTGCGTCTATTTATCAAATTTTCAGGCAGCCCAGCTTCAAAAATGACTCCAGGTAGCTTCACAACATTAAAAAAGGACCAAGACACTTCAAGTCAAAAGTTTCATCAGCAGCCTTAATCATAGGGTGGCAAGAGCCAAGTTGGAGGCAGGCAGGGTAGAGGATGAAGGGGAAGGCTATTCCAGAGGGCAGCTCACACACACCCACACCCGCCCAATCTCTGGAACCGAAGCCACCTGAGGGACACAGGATCGGGGGTAAACCAAGGGCGACGAAGTGCTGCCTATTAAGTCCAGCGAATATATTCGTTCCTTCCCCAGAGATCCACCCCAACCAAGCAAACTTTGCTCCGCGCTCTCCGCCCCCTGAGGCCGCTCTCCGGCTCCTGCCTTGGCTCTGCGACGGACGAGGCAATGGCCGGCGGTGAGTACAAACTGCTGCTCGAAGGAGCCGAGCAACTGGTGCTTGTTTGCACCCAAGGCGAGCAGTATCTCTTGGAGGCCGGCATGGAGCAGCTGGCCCTGCGGGGAAACGCCAGCGTGGTAATCGGCAAGTAAGTGCATCTTCGGAGGGGCGATGTGTGGCTGTTTCTGGGCAAAGAGGCATTCCGAATGGCCGTGGCCAGCTCCCCTGGTCTTTCAGATGACAGGCGGACGGGAGAAATTGTTCCCTGAACGCATAAAACCCCGTGGAGCAGGGGTGTCCAAACTTGGCAACTTTTAAGACTTGTGGACTTCAACTCCCAGAATTCCCTGGGGAATTCTGAGAGTTGAAGTCCACAAGTCTTAAAGTTCCCAAGTTTGGACACCCCTGCTGTGGAGTCTCTCCATTCCCTCCCCTCGCAATAAATCCAGCGATTAACAACGTTTGGTTATTGCTTTACTTCATTAACTCTCTTGGAACTAAAGTTTAGGGTAGAAAAAATTCATTCCAGAAAAGAGAGAGTGTAGCTCAGGATTGAATGGTGGAGTTCTTGGGGCGCTCTGAGTTTGGTGGTTTGCTTACGTTTCGTTAAAGTATCTTCAAGCAACAGCCAAGTTCAGAAGACCCAGAGCTCCCATATGCATGAATACCATGGCTTGCATTAACCATGGAGGTTTGCCATAAAGTATCCACATAGTGGATCACAAAATAGTGCTTAATGACACTTGATGAAAGAGGAGATCTTCAGCACTTTTCTTAAGAAGAAAGACATTAAGAGAAAACAGATAATTCCATTAATAATCCAATAATATCAAATTGTGGTTTGTTTTCAGAAATGGGTGCATAGAAGCAGTTGGTGATGCAAGGGCCATTCGTGAGCAATTCTCTGGAGCAACTTTTGACAAAATAATTGATTGCTCTGGAAAGTGCATTTTACCAGGTTGGTATGGATTTAAAGATTTATTGTACCAAGCAGTAATTTATGTATTTATAGAGGGGCAAGACATGCCTCTGTTTTTACTTCTTTATTTTCCTTTGAAGTGAAAAGGACTGAGTAAAGGACACAGAACATTCTGAAAGAAAGATTGCTGTGTCAAATTGGATGTATTTCTTGAGCATGCCAGGACTTTTAATCTATAATATATAAAATCAGAACCAGAAGCTTCAGCTAGTGCAGAATGTGGCAGCAGGTGTCAGGGCCAGCCCAAAAATGACTTAGAAAAATCCAACCAAAGTTCAGTTCTTTATTTGCTTACATCAGTGTTTTTCAACCACTGTGCTGCGGCACACTAGTGTGCCGTGACATAGTGTAAGGTGTGCCGTGGGAAAAACACTTTATATATAGTCAATATNGAGTTTTTTTCTTAATGACTTTCTGCAGCAAATAATGGAAAGTGGGAAGCCAGGGAGTTACAGACTGAGGGGGAGATTATTGTACAATAGAAGACAGGATATTAATAATATCCTCTGGCCACCCTATAATTAAACAATTCTTACTTCATCTATTGATTTTTAGGCATAAAAGAATGAGGAGCATACACTGCTCAATTCGACTGATTTTGCAATTTGTTTTATTTTCTCTTTAAAAGGGGGAAAAATGCTACAGAAGCTGCTGATGACATTATCAACACCCATCTTCCTAAACTCAAAGAACTTGATCTTAATGGTGAAATGCATGTTGACAATATAGACGTCTTCTGTGAGAAGGGTGTCTTTGATCTGAGTTCTACCAAAAGAATTCTTCAGGCTGGAAAAGCTATAGGGTTACAAATGAACTTCCATGGGGATGAGCTGCATCCAATGAAAAGTGCTGAGGTATGCCTTTGCTAAAATGCCTTTGCTTTTGATTCTGTTCTGAGATAAGAGTAAAGACAAATATATCAGTACAACATTTTGGCAATCAGTAACAGAGAAATGTAGCGGCAGCATATGAGGTTTAATCTTTTAGAAAGCTGAACCTCCTAGCCTTTGCTGATCACTTTTCAAACATTGATTTTGTTTATCTTTTCCTTTTGATGTAAAATTAAAGGATGAACTCTCCTTTTTATATTTTTCATTGTATTAAAAATGTTCAGTTTAATAGTTGCTGCATCATACTTCGTTCCAAAAATTAACATTACTATTGCCTTATAATTTATAATACAATATATTCCAATATAAACTTCAACTAAACAGTATTTAAATGGTGATATCCCAAATATATTTGATCCATTTAATGAACTAAAGCAAAACAAAGTTATTGATTATAATTTAATGTCATCTCTTTCTTCTTGTACTTATTCATGTTTTACTTAGGAAAAAATAACTCTCAAACAAACATTGACACATAAAAAAGAAGCACATTTCATAGTGATCTCTAAAGGCATCTGAAAGCTTATGCATGAATTTCAATTATAATATTCCAGTGATGGCTAACCTTTTTGTCATCGCGTATCATCACGTGTTGTCGCATGTCGTCACGTGTCATCATGTGACATCTGCTGAAAGCATGTGTACCCACACCCATAATGCAATACATGTATAACACCCCCTGCATTCCCCCCACCCCCCGCATGTGGGTGCGACCCCCCACATATATGAGTGCGACCCCCCCATGTATGCGGGCACAACCCCCATGCATGCATGCGCAACCCCCACTTC